CCCCAAAACCCCAAAACCCCAAAACCCCTTTTTAAATGGGGTAATTGAAAATATCAGAGACATAAAAATGGATCTAATCCGAATATAGCTTGGCATTAGCTAGTAATTCATAAAATCAAATATCCTTTAAATTTATCAAAAAAGCTTTCCACTTACATTAATTGCAATAATTTTGCTTGAAGTCTCGACTCTCTACTAAGACTTTAGATATTTAGTATTTAGAAGTTACTACTGTCGTTAAATACATTAATCCTGACAAAGTTTGCCCTATTAATTGATAAACCTCTATTCATTTTCTCTCAGCAGCCCATAAACCGCTTTTCTAATTTCCATTGTATATCACTGTCCAATACTATAAGTTCTGCTTCACCAGGCTCCCTAACGTATCTGACCCCATCCACAACATTGATCGGTTTCAGTTCTGTTATTTTAACTCTCACCACCATATTTCCCAGTAAACCAGGTCGAAGGTTATTTAAGCCTCACATTTGGGCAGGTTTATTAACCGGTTTTGGATGAGAGAAAAAAACAGCAGAAGCTTATGTATAATGGAAAGTTATATAGTAAATTATGTATCTTTATGAGGTCTGGAGTGAGAAGAACTTAAGACCTTGATTTTTTTCAGGTTGAATCTTATGTCACTACTGCTCTTGCTTATGGATTTGAAATTACGAGCTTTAAACTTTTTCTTAATTGATGGTAGCTTCTTAGTTGAGGTCCCAGGAGTCAAAGGAGGTTTATTAGGTCTTTTAGAAGTTCTGGTTGCACTCCTTCTTTGATCAGTTAGAAGAGGGAGCTCGTATTCATTTGTTTTGTGATTATGTGGCAGTCCCTTTGAACTTCTGCAATTTATATTCTTTTTGAGTCAGAACCTTCAGAATTCATTGAGCCTAAAAGTTATGGGACAGAGGTACCATCTTCATCTGTCAGACACTCATCTATATGTTCAAAATTCCTGCTGGAAGAAATAGCTCAAGATTTTGAGTCAATTTCCAAATTAAATTTTGGATGCTTCTCTTTCACCAAGTTATACTGTGATTGGAAAAGAAGGAGTCTTTCTGATTTGAGATCGTCCTCTTTAAATTGTTTCTTTACACTTTTGATTAAGCCAGTGGGTAATAAAATTCTGTAGGTTTTATTATTACTCTTTTTCTTAGGCTTCTTCAACATTTGGCTATAAAAATGGTACACTCATTTCATTAAACCAGTTTTCAGTATATGCATTCAGATAAGGTACTTTTGGAAATATTTTCTTTGCTGGTTATAAAGGCTGAGCTGCTTTTCCAGTTGTTCTTTCTTGAGTCTTTGCTCCAATTGTTTCACCCTTTCAATCGTGTTAATGTTTCCTAAATGAGTAGATTTTAACATTTTGGTTAAGTATGTAAAAAATCAAGCGAACATTTTAAGACTTACTTCTTTGAAATCTCTTTACTCCTCTTTTAGCAGAAGAAGTATGCTTTGTTTTACGAAGTCTCTTATGGCTTGATTCTGAATTCCATGACTTTGCAAGGTGATTTCTTGAATTAAGAGAGAAGATGCTCAATTTTCTTGTAATATTACCTAAGCAAATTATGACGGTCGATTATTAATTTTTAACACATCAGGTATAACTTATATTTAAAGGAGAAGAGCTTGCAGAATACGGCTTGCCGATAATACAGTGTCCCTAACCGTGGGATGATCCAGTGGAGCATTGGGTTGTGCCCTTAGAGGTATAGCCTTAAGAGTTCCCAAGATGATAAATTTTGGAATTTGTAGTCCTTAGCGTCTCACTGCCCACATAGACTTATCCACCGCTATATCTTCTAACCTAATTCCTCATTAATTAATTTGAATTCGAATATTATTTGTCAATTTTTGTTTTTCTTAAGAACACCAAGAAGTGCAAGCTGAGAATCAAAAGGAAATTTTTATAAAATAAAATACTTTCTTGCTATTTGTAAAACAAAGCTTAATATTTAATTATATCATCATAGTCAGTGCTGACAAATATCAAAGTAATCGCATTGAGAGATTTACAATAGGATTATGACTTTTCTGTTTTAATCGAGTATTCATTTCAAAACTTGAAACAGTTTCATCTCAGAAATAAAGGGTTTTCATAATTCTCATTATATGCTTCACATGTTAAATTTCAGTTTATACTAGTTATTTCAGCTGAAATTTATAATAAGGCAGTCTAAAAGCTCCCATTTAAGCTGATTGGGGTTTATAAGTTTATTGAGAGGAAAATTAAATCTATGGCTAATAGAATTAACTCGCAATGAATATAGAGTACTTACCGCTATTTCTGAGCTTTCTTAGACTTCTTCATCACAAATATCTTAGACATATTCTTTACAGATCGTTTCTTCACAGATATTGGTATGCTTCCTGCTGCTTTCTCTGAAGGAATGCCTTTCTGTAGACTTTGAGGTTTCATCATATTTATTTTGCTAAAATTGTTCAATTTTAGTATTACTTTTTGGGGTTTTGGGGTTTTGGGGTTTTGGGGTTTTGGGG